GTCACAATCATATTATGCAAAGTGGCGGACTGAAACTACAGAACCTACAATATGTAAATTGTTGTTAATATTTTGATACCAAATCCAAGAAGAAACATTTGTCATGAAGAGTCCAGTCTTTTAAACAGATAAGCGCTGTTTTGTGTTCACATGAAGGACCAACATATTATAAAATGGATAGTGGTGATGTTTTTCCCAGTGTATATACATATATATATATGCAAGTGTATGTGTGTGTCTTGACACACTTTTATCCCCTAAAATGGCATGCCTTAATACTATATATATTATATATATAAAAAAGATTCATTGTCCATTTTATTTGGAAAAATTTATTTGTTTTATGCTAAATAAGTCCTTAAAAAATGTTTATGCACCTCTCTTCTTCTTTTTAATATACATAATTTTCTCTCGTTGGAACCAATTATATTTTTTTATATATATATATATATATATGTAAAGGTGAACATTGAACTCAACACTCAGAGGCAACAGACTATTTCATACTAGATGCAATCATCAGGCCACACACACACATATATATATATATATTCCTAAAGAATTAATGGATTTTAGTTTTTAATCCAACATATTTTTATTAACATTAACATCTATATTTTAATTATAACTAACATTTTCGGACAGTTTCCTCACACATATTCATGATGTTTCAGCTGTTTTATGCTCTGGCCTTCTTCAGATGATATTTGTTGGAATTTCCAACCAAACCCTTTATTTAGTCTACTTATTTGTTCTAATTGCCATGGGGGTCTTTTGGATGTCTCAGTTTTAATTCCCTTTTGGTGAATCTTAGTTTTTGTTCTCTCTGCTTGGGCTAGGATTGAAGAACCACAACTTTTTGGGTCAAGGTTACTTTTGGATCAAACAACCAACACTTTTATCCACAGGGCCATGGACACATGAAGAAGGCCAGAGTGTACAATGACTGAAATGTTGTGAATATGGCAATAAAGATGAGAACAAGTCTTGAGTAATGTGAATAGTGTAAACAATGGAGTGTGTTGAAAATTTCTCTGTCCAACTCACTTTACAAAATCTGATGAATTACCATATCTTTTTTTTTTAAATGGTTTCTTAGTCAGGCTGAAAACCTTTCAGCACCCCTTTGTCTGTGCTGTATTAGCATTCTGATTATGAGACCTGGTTTTGAATACCTCAATTTGTCAAAGAGGTAGCTTCTTTTTAATATGTGCCCGGGGAAATGAACCTAGTGTGCAGTACATCTTGGAAGAGGCCTTAAAACTATTCCTCGGGTGGACCCATGCCTTGCAAATATAATTGGTTAGACAAAACTGTCCAGAAGCAAGCAATAGTTGTCCTAGTACAAAGTCACTAGTTATCATTACTGACGGTTTGAGCATACTGGCCTTCTTTAACCATTGATAACAACAGGTTGTGTCTGCAGCAGGGATTAGATAGCCACGATAGCAAGCTAGAAAACAAGTAGCCAGTCAAGGGTGTCCAATGCTGATCTTCTAGCAAAATGCAACATTGATGGAATTGAGACTTTCCTGATACAGTTACAACTTTGCTGTGCTGGTCATGTTGCAAGGTTGAGGGACAACAGAATATCTAAGGTCCTCAGCTTTAGCCAGCTTGACAGTAGACAAATGACTATTGGTCAACTGTGGCTCAAGTTTAAAAAAGGCTAAAGAGTAACCTCTCAGATGTTAATGTGCCGCATACTAACTACAATTTCGAAATCAGTTGTATTGACCATCTAAGAGATGAAAGACAACAGTGAAAAGCATTAGCAAATATTCCTGTTGCTGTGACCTGAGATCCTTACTATTGCACATGTGGACTTGTATGCAGGTCACTAGGGTGACTGAAGTGTCACATACGATATGAACATAAAAACTGAATGAGGTTGTTAGATCCTCATATGTCAAAATCAACAGGAGAATCCATTGACATCATATATGAACATAAAATTATAAATACCTTAACTTAAGCTTTACACGTCTGGTCGGTAATCATCAGGCTAGGTTATATTTTTATAGTTAAAAAATATAACCTGTCAATTCTTGACCAGAAAGGTGAAACATATTTATTTTTGTCCCACTAGCTCTAACTTTTACAACTGTGACCTGCCATTTCAAGTACACAAGGATGAATCATCCCCATTCCCTTTGTATTCCATTAGTAAGGAGTAAGTTTCACTCAGACAGCTTCTTCCCAAGAACTGCTACTTTGTGGAACAGACTTTCAGCAGGATGTCTTCCCAATCACTGCACACTTGACCTTTTCAAGACTAGGGTTAATCGTAACCTTTCTTATATAAACTCATGAACTACACATCTTTCTTTTTCTTATGCTCATACAACACTACATAGTAATCTTCTACCCTGAGTGGCTCTTGGACATTGTATTGAGTAAACATAAGTATAAAAAGGTTCTACACAGTATTGATCACTTTTTTTTTTATATATTTGTTATCAGTGTCAGCATAAGTGTTTTAAATATCTCTCTCATATATATATTTAAATGGATACTTTTTTTTTACTGCAATAAAATAAAAAAAAAATCAACACCCCATTTTAAAATAGTTGCCAAAAATCCAATTCAAATGAAATTATCAGGACTTATTCAATAACGAATAAATATTTTACTGAATAGGTTATTTTATTAAAAAAACTTTGGGGAAATATTTTGGGGTGGTATGTTTCACAACACCTTTTCAATAGCATGCGTATATTTTTTAACTTGGAGGGGGGGGGTCACCAATTTTTTTGCAGTTATATAAAAAGAAATTCCTGAAAATATTATTTCAGTAAAAAATTTATGCAATATTAAGCGTGAACATACAGAAAATTCAGTCCACATTTTGCCAAAAACAATTCAATAAAACTCAAAAATAGAATTTTTATTTTTTGATTTAATTAAACACATTATTTTCTTTCAGATTCAACAGAAAAAAATCTAAACTTGATATTAAAAAAAAAATACTTGTCATTTTTCAGTGCAATTTTGAAATTAATTTAATTCCTTTTCATCATATGAGTTTATTTTATTAAATAAAGATATATTTGAAAATTTTAAAAAATGTAAAGTTTAATGTAATTTTCGAGTGTGAACCGTTTTTTAAAGAATTTTATTTTTTCCTTTTAGCAACTATGTATGGATGTACAAAAAGGAAATAATTTAGATAGCTTGCATTGACTATTATTAAATATTAGAGGAGTATCATTATATTTAATTAATAAAAAAAAATATTCTTAAACTACTGATTATATATGGTTAAAGAAAATTTAGTTTTAAACATGAATATCAAATTCTTGATTATCGCACTGCCGGTTTTCCATATTTCTTTAGATTTTATTTTTTCCCGCGTTTTTTCGGACAGTAAAAGAATTATTACTGTATTTCTATTACCCGTAGACCTTATTAAAACGTTATTTTCATTCTGTTTTAAGTAAAAGGTAAGCATTATTTTTTAGAAAATCCAGTTAATCTTTAAATTTATTAATAGACTTCGAAACACATCTCTAATACAAATATTGGATTTTAAAGAGAATTTTAAATTTGTTGTTTACAGTTTGTTACACTTTTCAAACCTAGTGACGAAAAAATGACTAAATGCTTTAAAAATGCCTAAAAAGTTTATTCATATATGGATATTAATTTTTCTTTTCATTCGGATTTGCTTTTAAAACTATTATCTTTCAACAAAAATAGAACCGAAAGTTCAAAGAAGGCATTAAAAATGTTTTTCCGTTTTTTCTTTTTTTTAGAAAGTCCGTATGTTATGATATAATTTCCATTTTCCGTGATTTCTAAAAATGCCATTTTGCAACTCAAAAAAAAAAAAAATACAATTGTACTCTTCTAATGCAAAAAAAAAATGTAACTGTCTAAAAAATAAAAAGATGAATGAAATGAAATGGCTTATTTTTTTTATCAATGAAAAACAAAGGCAAAGTTTTAAAAATATGTAGTAAGAATTAAATAAGAAACTTTCAAACGATTTTAATAACCCCAACCCCATTTCTTACAAATAAAAAATAAAAATAAATAAAATAAAAATAAAAAAATACATTTTTTAAAGAAGTTTGTGGAAGGGATGTACTGAGTTGATTCAGATGTTTTGAAAAATATATTTGACGCTTTTTCCCCTGAAAGGTTAACGTTTTTTTGTTTTGTTTATCAACAGGATAAAAAAAAAAAATCCAGTTATGATGACATTGCGCTCTCTACCATATAACCATATTTTTTCTCTGATGGAAGGATAGTTTTTTTTTTTCTTGTGACATCTCAGAGATAAGATTTCGAACTCCGAAAATCCTACCTTAATTCACGCAGCAAATAACTATTTTTTTTTTTTTTTTTTACATTTCAAGATTTTTTTCTTTCAAAAAATCTAATTTCAACATTTTTAAAAAATTTTTATTAATTAAAAAAAATCACAACCCCCTAACTTGGGCTTCTTGTGTCCATTGCAAAAATGTCGATTTATTTATTAAATTTAATTTAAAAATATCACAATATTTTATCAATTTCAATATAAATTGCTGATTTTCGCTTTCCTTTAGTGAGTGTAACGCTAATAAGCGGCTAAACACATGAATAAAACACAAATTAAGAAAAAAAAATTAGTTCCGTTGCATTTAAGAAAGAAATTATTTTTATATTTTATATTCAATTATTAATAAATTATTAATTCTGTAAAATAAAAATTATTAAAACCGTTAGTGTTTGTAGTTAGTGTTACTGATGTGATTTAATAATTCTTTTATCAACAATTGGTAACTTACACATGTGACACGTCCGTGGTCATTGATAAAGAAAGAAATACACTTCACTTACAGTTATTAGGGTTTGTAACACGTAAAGAAAGAAAGCCTTTTAAAAAATTTAAAGATAAAATTCATTAACTAAAGTTAAAATTAGTTATATTTGCCGCGTGACAAAACTTGAACTAGGATCTCACCAAATTTACTTGTTGCATAATGAGAAAAGAAAGAGTGGTTTTGACATGTTCAGACAAGATAATATTGAGGATGGTGTGTTGGTATTGGTGAAGGAGCAATTGCTAACGGTCGAACGTAGTCTTTGATGATAGGAGCTTGGCATTGGTCTGTGTTTTGCAAATTGTCAGTGGATTGTCCTGAATGATGATGATCGTTGTTGTTGTTGTTGTTGTAGTGGTGATGGTCGCGGTTGTCCGCCTTGGTCGGCTGGAAGAACAGATTGAATTCGGTGTTGAAGACGTAACGATAGTAACTTTCCTTCACTTTCGACTCGTCAGGATGATCAGTTGACATCCACTGACAATACATTCCATAGAGTTTATTCACATTCAAACTGGAGTCTAAATACCGCCTGTTGTAATGACTCGACACTATCGGTATACTTTTAATATGTTTCCTCACTAGTTCAGCCATAACCCCAACAATCATCTTCCTTTTATTATGTTTGCCTCTCTGGTCTGTGGTGGGAGCTGAAGTAGTGGTTACCTTGCGCATAGCAGTTTCAACACGAGCTTTTTTCAGCCCAAAAATGCTCAAAAAACCTTGTTTACAAACCTGATAAGTCGTATTACTATAGATAACTGTATATTCGTACGAACAGCTTCGAATAGGACCCGGGGCATTCGGATTCTTCGGTTTACGACGCCGTTTTATTTCTTTCGGTCTCACCAATTTCTGAATGTAGGCATTCTGTAGATCAAAATTTCCTATTTCCCAAAATTCATTAAACAGTATCTCGATCACTCGTCTCTTGACTTTGTCAAAACAGCCGTCTTTGCACGGTTTACCGATCGTTCTTGCACTGACTTGTTTTTTTGTAAACACACTCGTATAGGCCTGCCCCCGGTTTCGAAGCTGTTTGGCTACGTTCTGTGCCCATTTCTCTGGCCTCTTCACTCTTTTTCTTTTACGTATAGGTGCTGCAGTTTCTTTATCACTTCCTGAGTCGCTCATAATGCGCTGAGCACGGGACAAAAATACTTGAAACAGAGCCGACAAGCGTGAGAGGTTTTAAACACAACACGTTAAGCTGCAGATGTAAACATATTAAAATCCACAATGCGATATGTCGTCCTCTGTTATTGGCTGCTGACTAAGACGTTTTGCATCGAGCAAATTGATTGGTTGTTCCGTCAGTCTGACGACGTCAGTTTGGTATTCCAGTTCCCTAAGACGTCAAGTCTGGCTTAAGGCCACAATAGTTGACCAACAAGTGACAAACGAGATTAATACCGATGACCTGTGAAACTAGATTGCTAGCCATAGTTCTGCTGTAGCAGCACACTTTGCTGAATAATTAATATCAGTCTGTTTGGCATTTTTAACATGAAGAAAATTCTGAATTCATGAGAAAATTTCTTAATTTTGGTTTTAATTTAACACCATTTTTTTGGCATGATGGTGCCATAATATATTTAACATTTTTTAAAGCTGCAAATGAAAGTAACTTTTATTGTTAAATTTAAATACAATAATTTTACTTTATTCTTAGAAAATTGAAGTATTTTATATAATTTGTAAATCATTCAAAAAAAAAAAATAAATAAATAGAATGAAAACTTTGAATAGATATTTGGTATAAAATACAAAAGTAAAACATGGTATAAAAAAGTTTAGTTTTTATAAATTAAAATTTGAACATACTTTTCTGGTGTTTAATTGCATATGATTATACAGTTGTAAAAAAATGGTATATATGAAATGCATTTTCTAATTGTCTTATTAAATTTTTCTATTAATTATCATTTAACTAAAAATCAGTGGTAGGACAAAAATAGTAAAAGGCTTTGAGGTTTAAGGAAGGTTGTTAAAATGTTACAGCAGGTACAATATCTGAGCTTAACTCCTTGTTTAAAAAAAACAAAAATATATTTTCATGAAAATGATTATATTGCAGCTTATAGAGATTAAGTATTTTGAATAGATACAAAGTAATAATTCAATAGCATTTATTTGCTTAATGCACTTTCCAACACAAGCAATAATTTGAAGCAGAATATATTACACAAAACAAAATATAAGAAATACAAATGAAGCATTTAGTACATTTCTATTTTACAGAATTATACATATTTAAAACACAAATATTTGAATAAATTCCAATTTCCTTTGATAAAAAATACAAGTGTTGCTTGTAGCACAGACAAATTATGACAAAATTAAGTTATGAACAATGCACATGATTCCTATTGTCATAAACATCTTTTTTTGGTTAGATTAAATTTGTTAATTAAATTTATAGCTAAATGTATATGCAGTGAATGTAAAAAAAAAACAAACCCAAAAATAAGTCTTTAAGAATAGTCTTAGATGTTTAGCAAAAGTTACTTCTTGAAAGGATTTCAAAAAATTGATTTATTTCATTGATGAATAGAACTAGAGTAATTAGGTTACTGGTTATCTAAGTATCTACTATGAAAACCTAATTGCAAGCTGATTATTTAGCATGAAGTTTTAGTTAGAAAAATAAAATTTGTGGAAATTAATTATGCAACTTACATAAACAAATTTTGTCAGGAATTTGTTTTGTAGTTTTCAATTTAAGAATTAGTTTTTGGTTTCAGTTAAAAGTTTATTTATAAAACTACCAAAATTGTGACTTAAATCCTGTTCTAACACTGAATTATTCATATGAACAAAATCAATAGTCCTATTTCAAAATGAGTCCTTAATCTTTGATCCTCAATCCTCTGTGGGGTATTATTACAGCATCAGTACTGTGGAGTCTTCAAATACTCCATTTCAATTATAGATATATCATTTAGTTTTTAATTTTCTTATGTATTGTCTTGAAAGTTATTTCTGGGTTTTATAATAAAAATTAAAACTGAAAAAAAAAAAAAAAAAAAAATATCGGCTTATTTTGGAAAAAAAAAAGAAAAAAATTTTCAAAAATTCAAATATGCAAAAATAAATTCCTTTTATTTTTTGTAAGATCTTTATAAAGATGTTATTTTTACTACTTTAAAAATGTTAGCCTTGAATAAAAATTGTTTTTTTTAATGCAGTTCAGTCAGTTATCTGCCATGCATGATACACACTTAGGTGATCATGTATCTTTTGATACATGACTGACGAGGCAGATTTTTTCCCTGCAATAGGTTGCCATTTCTTTCTGCAGTAGACCAGTTGCCATCCAAGGCTGTAGAACCTGGTCTGTTCTGCTATTTACGCATAGCTGGGGGGATAAGAGGATTCATACCTTTCCTAAGGGCATCAGAACATGAGTGAATGTAATGGATTCAACTGGAATTTGAACTTGGCTCTCCAATTCCTCAATCCAAGCTGTTATCCATTACTCCACCATGCTTCCTCCTGCAGTTAGACAACAAAAAGCAGTCTAAGCAATTTTCCAAAGCATGAACTATGAATGTAAAAGGGACTTTTAAAAAAAATTACTCTACGTATCAGAGACACTCATGAGGCAAGTAGGTGTTTTTCTGCCTTGTGTTGTTTTCTATTTTGTCTTTTTCAAAATCATTGTCTTTTCTCAAACTAATTTCTCCCATTTTTATGGTAGTTTTCAGAAATTGTTATCCTGCTTTAATAGGTACACAAAAGGAAATTTTTGTGTAAATTTTGTATTTGTACCTTTTTTCATAATTATGTAATAAATGTGGTCTGCTTTTAAAATTTAAGTTGTGGTTGAATCTTGTTTTGTGATTTGCACCTATTATGACTTGCTAAGTTTTTGTTTGACACAAGAACTTAGATTTGGTAGGTAATTAAATATTTATATCTTTTAAAACAATTTATATTAATTTAACTTTTTGTTTTTACATTCCAAGCAATGAACAAAAAGATTACTATGAGCTTTACATGTTTCTGCTACATTTATTAGTTTTTACTTTACAGCACTTGTAATTTACACAAATATGACTAAAACCAGAAATTGCTTGTAGTTACTTAAGTTATTCAGAAAGCTACTTCACTAATCCTGAAAATCTAACTTGTCACTTGCAAAAATTAACAAAAAAATATTTTGTGGAGGATTTTTAAACATGCCATGGTACCATTGGAGGTTTAATAACAGACATGACAAGTTTATACACTAAAACAACACTAGAATCCTAATAACAATCTAGTTTTGACTTTTCTCTATCTATAAAAGGCAGGATGTGCGTGTGTAATGAATGCACGGCCGCAATTTTCAACGGATTTGCACCAAAATTTACATGCACATGCTCCAAGTTAGCGGGATGGCCAAGACCAACATTGCATTTCCCAACTCCCATCAATAGTAGAAATAATTGATTTTTTCATGCTTCTACGGCATTTTTCATGTAGTTTGCGGCCATTTTCTACTGGCCAGAGTGAGAGCCTATAGCTGGCTGCCACGAATAGGCAGGAAGATTCTATTGGCCAGCGTGAGAGCCAACAGCTGACTGACATGAATGTTAACTAGCATACAAAAAAAAAAAAAAAATCAATAGCTGCATTAGTCACAAGTGGGGAAAAATTTAAATCTGCATGGCACTTTACTCCAATTGGCTCATTCGCTTTCTTAAACTCAACATTGATTCCGATTCTGCAGAACTGGGTTGGGTGTGAAAAAGTATTTGTTAACATTCCTTATTTCATTCGGTTTTTCCAGTTACAAATCCTTTTTTAAAGCTGATCGTTTTGTGTTCATTTTGTTTAGTTCTTTTTTCGTAACAGATTTAATGTTTAGTATAGAGCTTAGAAAAAATTTGCAGTGTGAGATAGGCAAGAAGTAAGGCATGTAGCAATATCAGCACGGCAAAGGGCACTCCTTTAAAGGCAAGGAAGGGCAAAAATATTTTAAGTCAAGTGATAGCGATTGCTGTACGAGTCATACGATTTTTGAATCAAGCACGGGCAACGCTGGGCCATGCTGCTAGTCTCCCTATATAGTATGCTAACTAGGTTTATCATCATTTCTTCCTTTCAAAATTTCTTGAAGTTGGAACAGAAACAAGGCTAAAGTCTTTTTCTTATGCAGAAACCACACGTTAAAGTGATTAATATAACTTTCAATACTTGCTGTACAAGTTAGGACTATTCTTAAGTTGACATTTGATGCATATCAAACTAAAATGGTCAGCCTAAGTATGAATCTTTGCAACCCAATTGACAAATTAATTCCTAATAAGTTGGAGGAAAAAAATTGCAACAGAAGTTGTTTTCTTCCATATTAGAAGAAATAAAACAAAAGCATACAAATTAATTTTTAAAAGATATGCCTAAAATATCAGTGGTGATACAATGAAAAGGTGACTTTTTTGAATGAAGTTAGTTCACTCCCAATGTAATCTAATGGTAAAAAAAGAAACCTTTTAATCAACACAATGTTTGTACAGAAATAAGCTTTTTTTTTTTTTTTTTTGATTGATGTAAAGAAGAAAACTGCTTGTTAATAGAAATATTTATACATAATGATTTGGCTCAAGATTGGAGTAAAAGACTCAAAAACAAAATAACTTAGAAAAATCTTTATTTACAAAAATATCAATTTGGAAATATACATCATTAAAGCAAATTATTTTTTTATCCATTCATAAAAACATTTGAAAAATGAAACTAAAATCTTTTGTTTGTTTTTTTAAAAAAAAAAAAAAAATATAAAAGAAAAATATAGAAAGAATAAAGAAAAATTGGTAACAAAAAAAAAAAAAAAAAATAGAAGAAAAAAAGCTGGCCACAAAAGAAGTAAAAATTTTGACAATTTAACATTCAATGCTATAAAAGTTTTTATTTCACATGCAATTGGAATAAGGAGAGAAAAAAAACAAACAAACAAAAGACAGGTAAACAATGGAAATAAAAAAAAAAAAAAAAAAGTCAAAAAGTTAACATGAAATCATTAAACGCAATTTATATTCAACTCCAGTAGAAGAATGTTTTTATGCCAACAAAAACAAAAAATTAAAATCTTTATAAAAGAAGAGGTCAAATATTAATCAGTCTATTATAACTTAATTACTTCAACATTT